TTTTTTCTTAGTTGGCAGAAAATTTTTCATGAACCAGTAACAAGATTATARGTATTAGATACTTGATGGTTCGAAACAATAGCATATCGCCGCATTGTTAGTGTGTATTTGAAATTATAATGAATACATAAATTAACTTTCAGTACAAAAAATAGCTAGCTAATTATTTTACTATATTTTTCCTTTGAATGCATAATGAATATGTTTCTTAGTGTCTTAAAATTAATCTAATACCAATAAAGGGCCAGTAATAAAACAAAAGAWGTGACACTCAAACTTTAGCATTTACTCAACAAAGCTTCGCTTCATGATACACTCAGTAAAAAAATAAAATCTCTAAAACCCAGACACTAACGAGTTTGAATTTGCCATAAATGCTTTATTTCTAAAATAAAAACTACCGCTCACTGGCCCGCAAGACTGACTAATATCAACATAGTCAAGGCACAYATAAGTAAAGCACGCGTTTCCTTGCCGGCAAACAACTATATTGTGTGTTGTTGACAGTTGGCAAATGACATACGACGCACAACGAATACATATGAGTGCGAACGTTCGTCTGCCACTAACTTYTAACGGCACTAAGACGGTAGGTTAAGAGGATAATGGATAAAAATTACCATCACGATTGCATTTTGCGAAATCTGCACGCTATTAATTTGCTGTTTACACAGTACAGGTGGTGTTGCAAAACGGCCGCAAAGGCGTACAACAAGAAAGACGAGTGCTAATGACAATAAGTTAGAAACTGAAAGTTAAATTCGTCAATAATCTTAATAAAGTGCCGCTCTTAAGCGTTGCTTCCGGCTCAGGCACGTGATGAAATGATGAAAGTGTTGCATACTTTATGGCGCATTAGCGTGTCATTATCGGTTGCTTAGCGATCACAACATTGTGTTGCATACTTTGAGCAGATTAGGCGCATTTAATGCCAGCAATTTAATTTACTTTGCGTATAATACGAACAGCTGTCGCTTAACAGGCCGAAGGGCATGCAAATGATTGAAACACGAATGCGAAGGTTGACTGTAATCTCATTAATGCTGTTCCTATTCATATAAAAATATTACCTATATGTATATAATAATAGTATTTACTTATCGTATATTACCTATATGTATATAATAATAGTATTTACTTATCGTAGTCGTAGTTTTCATACCACGCTCAAAGTCGCCTACAAATAGAAGATCTTCCTTACAAGCTTTAAATTGACTTGGAGATTGTTGGATTATTATTAGTAGCACTTTCATGTTAGATATGCTACTGGGAGGTTTTTTTTATACTCTCGCAACAAAGTTGCTAAAGAGAGTATTATAATTTTGTTCACATAACGATTGTTTGTAAGCCCTAAAACTAAAAGAGTCAGATATAGGGTTATATATACCAAAGTGATCAGGGTGACGAGTAGAGTTGAAATCCGGATGTCTGTCTGTCTGTCCGTCCGTCTGTTCGTTCGTCCGTGCAAGCTGTAACTTGAGTAAAAATTGAGATATCATGATGAAACTTGGTACACGTATTTCCTGGCTCCAT